AACGGTACCATCATAAATACGTCTGTAATACGTGGTGCGACAAGTTAGAATGGCTGCCGCGTTGCCTGGTGGCAGACGACATTTAGTTCACTGTAACCTGTTGGAACCTATCACATAACTGTTGTTCTTGGAGCACTCAAGTGTGGCGCCCAGCGGTACCCCTGTATCTGGAACGGCTAAAGCATCATCTGGTGTATATCTTAAAGAATATCTGCTCAGCGAGTGCACTGCTAGGTAAACAAAGTGCAAAGAGGCCGATGTCACTTCTGTGAGCTCACGCACCGGTGCACACAGCGACCCTCAGACACACACACATATACATCAAATTCTTTAAAAATTAAAGGAACGGGGGTTAGAGAGATGGCTCAGAGGTTGAGAGCACTGACTGCTCTTCCAGAGGTCCTGAGTTCAGTTCCCAGCACCCACATGGTGGCTCACACCTATCTGTAATGAGATCTGGTGCCCTCTTCTGGCGTGCAGCCATTCATGCAGGTACAAAGACTGTATACACAATAAATAAATGTTTAAAAGAAATTAAAGACATGAAGTAAGCGGCAAATATTATGTCACATGCTTTATGTAAAGATAAACAAGTGTGTTTTGGTTTGGTTTGAGACGTGTCACCACATGCAGAAGACAAATAACTCTTTAAAGAAATAAGTAAATAAGCAGATATTGTAACAGCATTCTATATCTCAAATATAGTTAGGTGTCACTTTAAAAAAATACATAAATTATATAAGCATTTGTTTTATATAAGAGGGCACCAGGTCCCCTCGAACTAAAGTTAGACAGCTGTAAGTTGCCATGAGGATGCTGGGAACCAAACCCAGGTTATTTGTAACAGAAGCAAATGCTCCTCACTGGTAAACCATCTCTCTAGTCCCAAGAGAGAATACTTTTTAAAAGAATTCATAGGCAAGGTGTGGTGGCACATGCCTTTAATCCTAACACTCGGGAAGAAGAGGCAGGTGCATCTCAGTGCATTCAAGGCTAGCCTAGTCTATACAGTGAGTTCCAGGACAGTCAGGGATACATAGGAAAATCCTGTCTCAAAAAGAGAGAAACAGCAGCCAAATACAGTGACTAGCCTATACCATCTTGGTTTGTGTAAGCATCCTATGATAGCCACACGATGACAAAAATCACCTAATGATGCAACCAGAACACGTGTCCACAGTTAACCAAGGCAGAACTGCAGCTGAAGACAACAATGCCTCCCCTGGCTCAAGGTCACGGCATCTGTGGGAAGCACCACTTCTGGCCACCTCTCCGTCCCATTTCCTCTGCAGCTCCAGAGTAAACCTCCACTCCTTCAAACGTGGACAGTGGCCACTGATGGACCCTTCTCCACACAGCATGCAAAAGCAAAGCTCACATTCTGAAATAGAAACTCAAAGGGGGTGGGGGCAGGGGGTGGAGCTCACACTAACGTAATCACCGGATCTCAATCACGGCTCTTCAGGGTCCTCACCAGGAAGCCTCTTCAAAAAATATGTAACATTTCCTGGAAGAACATCTACTAGAAAAAAATCTCCACTTCACTGGCACCAGCTCCTGATTACACCCCGCTTCTCTATGATTGACTGCTCTTAAGGGTCCCCAGGGTCTCAAACCTAACGAAGGGGCTGGAGCGAGTTCCTCCAAGTTCTGCCCCCTCCTGCTGCCTACTTGATAATTTCCATATTCAAAAGAAACCAGAGGAGCATTCAAAGGAACTCAGGTGCCAGTAAAGACCTCAAGGGCATTCTGAAGATACAGAACTGGTGGCTGACCACAGTTGACACTGTGGTCAGCGGGCAGTGTCTATTGACAAGCGGTGTCCTAGTGACTGCTGTCACTGTGACAAAATAGCCTGACAGAGCAACTAAGGGTACAGTCCCAGGGTACTGTCCACCATAGTGGGAACTAAGGGGACAGTCCCAGGGTACTGTCCACCATAGTGGGAACTAAGGGGACAGTCCCAGGGTACTGTCCACCATAGTGGGAACTAAGGGGACAGTCCCAGGGTACTGTCCACCATAGTGGGAACTAAGGGGACAGTCCCAGGGTACTGTCCACCATAGTGGGAACTAAGGGGACAGTCCCAGGGTACTGTCCACCATAGTGGAAACTAAGGGGACAGTCCCAGGGTACTGTCCACCATAGTGGGAAGGAAGGTCATGGCAACAGGAGCCCAGGGAGGCTGGTCCCAACGCTGTTAACTAAGGGTACAGTCCCAGGGTACTGTCCACCATAGTGGGAAGGGAAGGTCAAGGCAACAGGAGCCCAGGGAGGCTGGTCCCAACGCTGTTAATGTATTCGCTCACTTTCTCCTTTATACTGAGCCAGCATACTAGCCCCGGAAATGGTGCAATTACAGAGGGCGTCTCCCGACGACAGGACGTGACAATGGCAGAGGTCAGGTCTCCCTATAGGAAGTGATGTGTTCAGAGCGGCGAGCCTCCCTGCAGAAAGTGGCGCAATTAGTGGGCAGGTCTCTATACAGGAAGTGATGCAATCACAGTTGGCGGGTCGCCCTACAAGAAATGGTGTAAGTTCGCAGGGCTGGTCTCCCTATCTCAACCTAATCAAGATAATGTTTTTGTTGGTGGCTGTCCTGGAACTCACTCTGTAAACCAGCCTGGCCTAGCACTCAGAGATCCACCTGCCTCTGCTTCCCACGTGCTGGGGATTAAAGACCTGCTCAAGATAATCTTCCCAGGTGAGGGAATTGAGAGCAGACAGGTGCACACAAGCCAGTGAAGCCCTTGTTAATGTTTGAATGTGAAATGGTCCCCACAGGCTCCTGTACTTAAACACTGGGTCCCCAGCAGGTGGCACTGTTTTGGTCGGCTGTGGGCCATTCAGGAGGAGACATGGATTTGAGTGGCTGGAGTGTGGGCCTTGAAGCTCATAGACTTCTCCTCCTGCCCAAGCTCGTCGCTTCCTGGTCAGCATTCTGTGACAAGGGGTTGCCACATGGCCCTGCCGCCACTCCTCTGCCATAAACTCTCTCACACCGTGAGCCAAAACAAACCCCTTTTCTCTTGATTTGCATCTGTTGGCTACTCCGTCACCATGGCAAGCAAAGTGGGCTCGCTGGTTTTCCCTCCTCAGCACCCACACAGAGATACCACCATAGGCGGCATAAGTCCACCTCCCGGCAAGAGTCGTCCTGGAGGATGCGCCTTTGAAAAGGACCAGCGGAACCCTGATGCCCCTTCCCTCTTTCCCGTTCATTCCTAGCCATGACATAAGCACCACACACTCTTACCAGGATATGTTGCCTGATCACAGGCGCCAAAGCAACCAGCCAAAGACTGAAACCCCAAAGGTACAGGCCCAAATGATCCTTTCATCTCCCGCACTCCGCAGCCATCCTGGGTGTTTGATGACGGTAACAGAAAGGTGCCTGACAACAGCCAAGGATCTTACATCCTCAAAAAACTCAAGGCAGGGCGGTGGTGGGGCAAGTCTTTAATCTCCGCACTCGGGGAGGCAGAGGTGGTGGATCTTTGTGAGTTCAAGGTCAGCCTAGTCTACAAGAGCTAGTTCCTGGACCCCTAAGACTGTTACACAGAGAAAACCTGTCTCGAAAAACCAAAAAAAAGAAAAGGGAAAGAAAGAAAACCTTCAAAACAGCCTGAGCGTCAGTGCTCTTGGACACTCAGGGCTACTGTGGGGAAGCCTGGCCTTCGAAGCTAGAGCCCTCATAGGTCAGGGGTTCCCCAAGCCTTTTCTTAAAAGGTCACGTGGGAGAAAGTTCAGGCTTTGGGAAGTCACATCACTCCTGTTCCAAGCATTCTAATGTGTGACTGAAGCACACGGGGGCGGTTGGTTCCCCTAAGCTTTGTTTACACCCAGAGTTCACAGTTTCCAGGCCCTCACTTTAAAGGCCACACAGAGAAACCACAGTGAGCATAAGACTCTGATCTCCACAAGAGAGGCATGGGTGGACAGGTTGAGTCTGCTTTCATCCCAAAATCTCAATGGAGCTCAGCTTTCCAGCCAGGACTACAGACACTGAGCAAGCCATCTAGAACATTCCATCTTAAGAGCCCGGAGCATGCAATTTTAGCCAATACATCACAGAGCAGAGGAATCCCCAGATGAAGACATTTGAACCATGAACCCAAGATGAAGCAATACAAAACTATCCTTTTCGGCCTCTACAGGCTGGAGTGTTTGGTTAGATGGCCATGCTGGATGAGGCGGTTTCTCAGATCTGTCATGACTGACTACATAATCCTGTGTGCTGTGCATGCATCACAGGACCCCGGCTGTGACAACCAGAAGGGTCTCCCAGGGCTTCTCTAAGAGATGCTGAAGGAGCAGGATGCCCACTGACTGAAATCACTAGTGGAAAATACAAGCAGATGTGGCATCAGCACCAGCACCCAACTGCCCCAACACAGGGAGGCGAGCAAAATCAGAAAAGCAGTCCAAGTCAGCTGAGCCATGACATCAGAGGCCCTAGGTCACCCTGCCTTCATCAGCTGCTTCTCCATGTCTTATGACATCAGTGGTATAAAGAAAACAATCCAGGTAGCTAGTGGTGTAGCTCACTGGCACGGCATATGCACGCCATGAGGGAGAGCGAAGAGGAGACACCAGATTCAGAATCATCACCGTATTCGTCTACTATCATGATTTTAAACAAATTATCTTACTGAATTTAAACACAATGGCCCCTAAGCACTGTACCTACTCTGCCTGAAGGACAGGTTGGCTCAGAGTATAAACACAGAGCTAAGTCCCTGGGACCAGTCATGCCTGAAGGAAGCATCCTTGGATTTCTGTCCCATGAGTCAACATAATTCCCTTTTGAACTGAATCCATCCCTTGTAGTGAGAAGCTGGACTTAAGTCTGGTCTCCAGGTTACAACCATGCAATCTGTATACCCCCCTGGGTCAGTCTTATGCAGACTATGGTTTTCTGCAGCTTCCGCCCACATCTTCTGCCTCCAGCATCCCTGCTTCTGACAAGGGAGACGTGGAGAGCGAGTCCCCCGACTTACACTTCTGGACAAAGCTGCTCACGTGCTTCATCTTCATCAGGGCGGGCTGGCTGCACTCTTCAAAGAGAACAAAGAGGCCGTCTAAGATCCCTTCCCGGGAAAGAGCAGACTGCTGCTGTTGAATCATGACGGGCGGTTTCCCCTAAAAATGGCAAACAGCAGATGGAGATTCTGTCAATAATGAAAAGCTTTCATCAATAACATCCACGCAGAGTAAATCACAAGCGCCCTGATCAACTACCTGCTCACAACACACCAGCAATGATTCTGGGCCCGTTAAGTGATTATTTGCATGGGTCCATTGTGCAGGGTTTTTCACCTGCATCTGGGGAAAAGACTTGACAAGAGCACCGTCGGGGTAAATGGTCATTCCTGCCGGGAGTCTGAGCTTCATGGGAACAGTTACTTCGGACCCCACAAGTTTTGAGATGATTCCGTATCTCCTCAACAGGAAACACTGATTGCCACCCCTTCCCCATGTGGCTGGATGCCTGCTAACACAACTTCAGCCTCTTTTAATTCATCTCAAAGTAGCAGAAATGGATGCCTACCGTGAAGCCGAATTTATTCATGATCTGTGGGATCAGTTACAGATTGGCAGACTGTGTCTAGCCCACAAACATGTTTTGTTTGGCTTGAAGTATTTAAAATAATTTGGATTATCTGCCAATATTTTTAAAATTTTTAAATCAGATTTTATACACACACACATGCGTACACAACACACACACACACATACACATCAGAATATCTGTCTTTTCCTGAAGTGCCAGTGGATCTCGCAATATTGCCCTGTTCTGCCTGGTAACACAGCGGGAGCTGAGTGATGTCGCCCTCTTGGTGGGCGCTAAAGTCACTGTAGATTTGACCTGCGGTCTTCTGTCTGGCGAGCTTAAGTCATTTATGCCTACTATCTGGCCTCTCAAGACCTGAGTGGGCAACCCCTGGTTTAGAGCAATGATTCCCGTGGGAGGCCATGGATTGTGGGGCAATCTCTGTGTAAAAACAGCTAAAGGAGGGAGGCACAGAAAAGAGATTTTTAAGAGTCCAGGGGCTAGGGTGATAGCTCAGTTGGTAAAGTACCCATCACACAAGAATAAAGACCTGAGTTCGGATCCCCAGAACCCATGTAAAATATCTGGGCATAGTGGCAAGTGCCTGCCACCCCAACACTGGGGGATGGGACATGGATTCCTGAAGCTCATCCTGTGGAACTAATGAGCAGTGAGAGATCCTATCTCAAAATGTTACAGCAGAGATCAGCCAAGGAAATCTACCCAATGTCTGTGGCTGCCTACACACACACACACACACACACCAAGGAAATCCACCCAACATCTACGGCTGTCTACACACAAACACACACACAAACACACACACACACCACACACACCCCAAAGAAATCTACCCAATGTCTGTGGCTGCCTACACACAAACCAAGGAAATCCACCCGATGTCTATGGCTATCTACACACAAACACACACACACACACATGCGTGCACATACACATACCAAGGGAATATACCAAGGGAATCTACAGCTGGCTTACACACACACACACACACACACACACACACCTAGAAAATACACCCAGTGTCTTTGGCTAGCCTACACACACACACACACACACACACACACACAATTTCAATGCATCGTCATGCCTACAATCTTAGCACGTGAGAGGCTGAGGCAGGAGGATTATGAGTTCAAAACAAAAGGGGGGGGCAAAAGAGAGCCACTACCGGTTCCTGGCACATGCCACACGTCCCTCGAATCCACCGTCCATTCGCACAGGTGCCGTCCCCGAGACTCACTTTAAATGGCAGGGTGGCACAAATCACAAATGGCAGTGCGCTGGCTCAGGGCACAACTTCCAGACACCAAACAGACTTTGCCTTCGTTCTTTTTTGGGAAGGCAGTTGCCATGCACAGAAGTTTAGGCGACATTTAGGGTTTGGCACCAAACAAGGCCCGTGCTTGAACTATAAACAGTTCTGTTGGAAGGTAGTCAGGCCCACTCCTTTACGCTGAGTTCACAACAAATTTGGTGCCACGATGGCAGAGCTGAAGAGCTGGCTCCAATGACGATAAAGGAAAACCTTTTATTGTTTGGAGGAGGGGGAAAAAAGAAGTCCAAGATAGCCTAGGTAAATGAATAAGTAAATAAATACATGGAGAGGCCACGTGACGGCGGGGTAAGGGCTCAGGCTGGCCGTGAAGACTAATGACTTCAGTCTGGTGGCTGGAATCCATGTAAAAAGCCAGATATGGGGGAACATCTACAACCCTAGCAATCATCCTGGAAAGTGGGAGGTGGAGGCAGGAGAGTCGGCAGAAGTCTGTAGGTCAGCAAGCCAGGAATACACTCTCAGCAAAACAAGAGAGACCTGCCTCAAAACACAGGGAGACGACTCCTCCAGACTCCTCTAAGTTACACTGTAATACCCATGCACAACGGCACGTGCACATATGTGCCCAAGGATAAATAATTCCATTTAAAAATAAACAGCCAAGGGCTGGAGAGATGGCTCAGTGGTTAAGAGCATTGCCTGCTCTTCCAAAGGTCCTGAGTTCAATTCCCAGCAACCACATGGTGGCTCACAACCATCTGTAATGAGGTCTGGTGCCCTTTTCTGGCCTTCAGACATACACACGGACAGAATATTGTATACATAATAAATAAATAAATATTTAAAAAAAATAAAATAAAAAATAAACAGCCAGCCGGGCAGTGGTGGCGCACGCCTTTAATTCCAGCACTCGAGAGGCAGAGGCAGGCGGGATCTATGTGAGTTCGAAGCCAGCCTGGTCTATAAGAGCTAGTTCCAGGACAGGCTCCAAAGCTACAGAGAAACCCTGTCTTGAAAAACAAGAAACAAAATATAAAAAACAAAGAAAACAGCCAGCTTCAATAAGGTCATGGGACAGAGGTAGTTGACCGCAGGAAAAGCCTTATCCTCTCTGAGGAGCAGATGAGGATGGGGTGGAAAGAAGGTGGGGGACTGGAATTGGTTTGTAAAATAAATAAATTTATTTAAAAAAATAAAATAAATAAGCAAGATTGCCTTAGTGAGCAGTCAGTGCCTAGATTCTACTGACCCAGGTGTAATCTCAGTGGATTGTGGACTGAGTAACCACAGCCGACACGGTGGGGAAGCAAGGCCACCCACTGAAGCAACCTGCTGGGCTTTGTTGTCTGTTTGCTTGCTTGTTTGTTTGTTTTGAAACAAGGTCTCTGTCCTGGCTGGCCTTCACCTCACAGAGATCCACCAGCCTCTAACTCCCGAAAGCTGGGATTAAAGGCTGCACCACCACGCCTGCTGGAAAACCCTAGGAAAAGGCGCCACTATACCTTTAAACTGTAGGGCTTGTTACACAACACTGGGCGGCATAAAAGAGCAGCTGCATCTGAATCACTAGAGAATCACAAGAGAACAGATTCTTTGGCCCTATTACCAACCTCCTGAATTACAATTTTCTAGACTGCAGTTTAGAACTGATTTTAATAAATTCTCCAGGAGACTTGGTCAAGTTGGGAAGAGCTGGGCCTTCCTGCCTGACCCTTCACCTGAGAGTTAAACCCAAGTAGACAAGGGGTTCCCGGAGACTCAAGGAGGCTTAAGCCCCATGGTACCTTCTCCAAAAGCTCAGGGGACACAAACTTGGAAATGGCCCTTTGTTCTGACGCTTTTTCCTCCTCTCTCCATGTTTCTTAAAATGCTCTTTCTTCAGGAAATGAAAAGACCAGAAAGTAATGGCTTTTTCCTTTCATTTGTTTTCTACATCCTTGCTTGGCAGAATATAAAAAGCTGGCAAAGCCCTGGCCGCCTGGTGATTCGTGAGATTTCTGTGGCTCTGGAAGTCTGCCAAGCACCAAACAGAAGTGCCCTGTGCAGGAGGGAGCCACACCGTCGGAGACCTCGTCTAAAGGACATACCTTAATAGAAAACAAACCAGCACCGTGTCTAACCGTCAGGGTGGCAGGCCGGCATGGGGACAGCACAGTGGCCTCGGCAGGCACATGAGGCTCATGTCTGGTGTACCCAGACACTTTGCCACAACCTTTCCTGGGGCAGGAGGCACTCATTGCTACCGTCTGCATGTGCTTTACCCTCCAAGGGTTCGTGGGCTGCAAGCTTGGACCTCAGTGTCAAAGTGGTGGGAGCGTTAAAAGGTGGGTTGAGACCCTGTAGGAGGTTCTCTAGTCCTCAAGATCGGAGGAGACACTTATCTGCTCTCCAAGATACAAAATGTTTTTCTTAACCTTGGGAGCTGGGAGCAGGATGTTAGAAAGGGAGTAGGCCTGGTCTTTTACTTCCTATCTTGCCCATGTGATTTCTGCACATGCCCCTGTCAGTTCAGAGCCAAGCAGAGCCAAACAGAGCCAAGCAGAGCCAAGCAGAAGTCAGTGGCGTACTCTTGAGTCTACAGAACTGTGAACTATGTGGCCTCTTTTGTTTATAAAGCACAAACCCTTGGGTACATTGTTATAGCAAAAAACCATCAACTAAAGTCACTCGGCATTAAAAAGAGATGTAGTGAAAGTGCCCTGGTTTGCTTTCTACCTCTGTGACAAACACCCCGACAAAAGCAAGACGGGCAGGAACGGGGTCTTTCAGCTTACTGCCCATCACAGAGGCAAGTCAGAAAACTGGAGGGAGAAACTGAGTCCGAAGCCATGGAAGAACGCTGCTTACTGGGGGCTTGCTCGCTCTGACCCTCCCACATGGATCGCTAGTCAAGAAAACGCCTTAGAAGCTTGCCCACAGTAGACCAAGCTGGTGAGGCATTTTTCCAGTTGAGGTTCCTTCTCCCTAGATGGATGACTCTAGTGTGTCAAACTGACCAAAAAAAAAAAAAAAAATCGGCACAAGGTTTTACCCAGAATCCTTCCCACAAGACATTTAAACATAAAGCATGGTGGAGCAGCTCTGTCTGACACACGCTAGTAATGTGTCTTAGAAATCAGACAGTACCAATGTCACCTGAGTGTCTCACAAGCTGCGTGACTTTGGGCCAGCCCCACGTTCCTCCTGTCCACACTGAAAATAACAACAGTTCTTACCGTTTGTTATGAGGCTGAATCGAGAACCATAACTGTGTCAACATTTATTCATCAGCATTAAGCCCTTGTTTTTAAATTTTTATTTTATGTGTGCAGGTGTTTTTCCTGCATGCTTGGCGCCCTCGGAGGCTAGAAGAGGGAATCAGATCCTTGGCACTGGAGTTACAGCCAGCTGTGAGCCGCCATGTGGGAGCTGGGAACTGAACTGAGGTCCTCTGGAAGAGCAGCAGTGTTCTCGATGGCTGAGCCGTCTCTCCAGCCCCATAGCACAGCCCTTAACAAATGAGGACCTGTTTTGTTTTTAGTTGGGCGTCTGTTTAAAGTAAAGCCATCAAGGGTCCTGTTTGTGACAGCATTCAGACATTGAGGTCACAGACAGAGCACTCATCTGTGAGAACTGTCTCACGATTTAAATAGGAACATTTCCACAGCACACCCCAAGTTACCAAGCTGTTCCCACTGTTTCCACGTCCCCCCCCCCTGAAGCAGGCGAGGAATGTCAGCAAGAATATTACCCGACAGACATCCCATGGCATGAGCTCATCGTGACTGTGACCACAGTATGTGCGATGACCCGTGTTGCCAACGAACACAATTTAAGAGCGCCTTTCCGCACACACCCATGAGGGATTATCTAGATTGCATTCACTGAATGTGAAGACCCATCTCAGCTGTGAGCTGGACAAGACTGTTCCCCAAGCAGGGGACCCAAGACAGAGACTTAGCAACAGCAGCATGACTGCCGATGATGTCACGTGACCAGCTCCCTGCCCTGACTGTCATGGGCCCAAAGGCTTTCGCCACAGAAACACAAAGAGAAACTGAGACATGATGCTACAATTAGTGTTAACAACAAATACCGGGCTAGAGGACACCTCGGCAATTCAGAGCTTGAACAGCTCTTGCAGAGGATGAGTCTGGTGGCCAGCACTCACATCAGGCAGCTGACTCCAGCACCAGGGGACCCGATGTCCTCTTCAAGACACCAGGCACCTCCATTCACACATGCACAGCACATTCTGAGGTATATAATTAAAATAAAATGGATTTTTTTTTTGAGACAGGATCTAACTATGCAACCCTGAATGACAAGAACCTCATTATAAAGCCCTGTCAGGCCTTGAATTCACAGAGATCTGCCTGCCTCTGCCTTGGAGTGCTGGGACTAAAGGCGTGCGCCATCAAACCCAGCTCGATCTTTTAAATCTTTTTTAAAAAACGAATTAGCATTCTTACTTTTTTTTTCTTTTGTTTTAAGACAGGATCTTACTACTTTGTTCAGGTTGGCCTCAAACCTGCTAAGTAGCCCAGGATAGCCTCAAGGCTCATTTATAAAGGACTTGCCAAGAGCTAGGCAAGGCACAAAAAACTTCATGTGGACCATCTCATTAACCCCTCAATAACCCGATGGAAAAGGCACCTCGGCTCCTGCTGTAAGAGTAGATTTGAGCCTGGTGTGACGGCACATACCCAGTACTGTGGAAGCTGCAGCTGGAGGATCATGGGAATTTTCCAAGGCTGCCTGGACAATATCCCATTTCAGCAGGCCATAGCAGGGTACAGAGTCACTACAGCATGCAGAAGGCCAAGGTGAAGGTAAGTGTTAGGCATGGAGGTACATTTTCCAGCATAGGAAAATGAAGGCAGAAGGATCGTGAGTTAGAAGTCAACCTGGGGTTGGAATTCTAGGCCAGGCCAGCCTGAGCTACATAGCGAGACCCTGTTTTGAAAACAGGGAGGTGACTTGGAAGATAGTTAAAAGCATTTTTTAGACAAGCCTGATAACCTGAGTTTGGATATCCAGGGCCCACCTAAAAGCCAGATATGGTAGCGTAAGAACCTTTAATCCTAAATGCCCCCATAGGGAATAGAATCTGAGACTAGAGAATCACAAGTTCAGCTAGCCTCGAAAACACAACATTGAACAAGAAGGAATTAAGTAGGAAAAAAAAAAAATCCCAGGATGAAGCCAGGCACACACCTTTAATCCCAGCACTCAGAAGCAGAGGCGGGTGGATCTCTGTGAGTTCAAGACCAGCCCGGTCTACAGAGTGAGTTCCAGGACAGCCAGAGTTACACAGAGAAACCCTGTCTCAAAAACCAAACAAAACAAAAACAACAAAAATGAGGACAAGACAACAAAGGTTATCGTCCTTGGTCCTCCACTCGAGTGCCATGGTGCATGAACACAAAGGCACAAGAACACGCACGCATACCTCTCCACGTCCTACACGCATTCATCACAAACACACACGCAGTTGGGGCCAACCTGTGCCACATAAAACCTTGCTTTGGAATAAATAAATAAATAAATAAATAAGAAATAAAAAGCAGATTCAAATTAATTTACCCAAAGCAGCACAACTAACAAATGCATGCCGGACGAAAGGACTATAGCTTTAAAACGTCCGTCTTCACCACTCCCTGTTTGTCCTAACTTATGAGTCCACAAGCCAAGCAAGGACCCATTCCACCAGAGTCCCACATACAACAGAAACAAACAGGTTAGGAGACTGCTCAGAAACAATTTCAGGACATCTGTCCTTCTAGGATGAAGGAAATGTTGGGTGCCTCACAAGGGATGTGGTTACCCAGGTGTGGTATTTAATCTAAACAGCAGACGGACAGCCACCAAGTGTGGTGGCGCATGCCTTTAATCCTAGCACTCAGGAGGCACGGGCAGGTGGACCTCTGTGAGTTCGAGGCCAGCCCGGTGCCCATAGAAAAATTGCAGGACAGCCAGAGCTATGTAATAAAAAAGAATTTATCTTTTAAAATAGAAAAAGCAGACATTCCTTGTACGAAAAAAGTTTGTGTCTCCACTGGGGCTTGTTGACTCCTCTAGAGGACCACAGTTGGGTCCCAGCACCCACATAGGCCGCTCACAAACACCCGCAGCTCACGTTCCAAGGGAACTGAAGCCTATCGCTGGCCTCTCTCTCTGGGTACCCAGACACACACACACACACACACACACACACACACACACGCTTAAGAAGTCCCTTTGTTCTTTTCTTTCTTTAACTGAAAGGACGAGGTTTAGAAGGGTGAAATCTGAGATGAGGCGTCTCGAGGGCAGGTCCAGCCGCGGAACCGTCTGCACAGTGGCACCTTTGTCCAGCTCAGTCCGGTCATGTAAAACAACAAATGGGATTCCCCCAAGAATATCAGTCTCATACAATCAGAGGCGATAACCGTAACAGCCAAAGGTGCGCATCATTGGCAGGCAGCCTCCTACCTGGAAAAACGCATTTAGCCTGGAGGCCCGACTGGCAATGGGCTCGCAGGCACTGGCATCCAGTGGGTTCCGCACTCCGTACTTGAACTTCAGCATCTCTCCGCCGACGCCCAAAGGACACTGGGGAAAGTCACGTGTGTACTGACATTAGGGCAGGAAGGGCTTGACAGGATCCTATCTCCCTAAACACATTAGGAGGAGGGCACTTCCAGCCGCCCCAGCACTGGGCAGGCACATGGTGCATAGATACATACATGCAGGCAAAATATTCATACACATAAAGAATAAAAATAAGTCGTTTTTAAAAGCACTGATAGCCACTGTTGGACTAGCCAGACTACAGCCTATAAGCCACTCCAGTCAGTCCCCACTTGTTTTTCCTTTCTGTCGGTTCTGCTCCTCTAGTGAACCCTGACTACTACAAATATCTTATACTTCATATGCTAACTTTAAAAATTTTAAAAGGTGCCGGGCGGTGGTGGCGCACGCCTTTAATCCCAGCACTCGGGAGGCAGAGGCAGGCGGATCTCTGTGAGTTCGAGACCAACCTGGTCTACAAGAGCTAGTTCCAGGACAGGCTCCAAAGCCACAGAGAAACCCTGTCTCGAAAAACTAAATAAATAAATAAATAAATAAATAAATAAATAAATAAAATTTAAAAAGGTGCCTTTAATCCCAGCACTCGGGAGGCAGAGGCAGGCGGATCTCTGTGAGTTCGAGACCAGCCTGGTCTACAGAGCTAGTTCCAGGACAGGCTCCAAAGCCACAGAGAAACCCTGTCTCGAAAAAGAAAAAAAAATTAAAAAGGTATATAAACAGTAATATTCATAAATTACAAAGTAAAAACTCTGCCTAAAATAGATGCAACATGTGGAACCAAGGCCTGAAGGGGATGGCCAGCGAGCCAGGTTATCTGGGAGAAGAACAGCGAACTGTCCCGGGAGGGTACAGAGGGCACTGCTTCTGAGGAAGGACGTCTGGCCTGACACAGCAGAAAGCCCAGAGGGCCATACAGGGAGGAAGACAAGGAGACAAGAAGGAGGCACCAGTTTAGACGTGGAAGAGGATGAAGGAACTGGAACAGAGAGGTTAAGTAAGTGAGTTAAGATCACACAGATAAAGGGAAGTGCCGGCAAGAACAAGGCAGGGAAGGCTTGCAGGAGGCACAGGCTACAGGGGACTCAGTCTCTTTAAGGAGCCCCTGGATCCGGGGCAGCACAGCCCGGACTCCCCTCCACAGGCTTCCCCCAGCTCACCCCAGTGCTGCACCCACAGACCCAGGGCTGAACTCACTGACCCAGGGCGGCATCAACAGACCCAGAGCTGAATCCAAAAACCCCAGAGCTGTAGCGACACATCCAGGGTTGCCCCCATAGACCCCGGGGTTACACCCATAGACCCAGGGCTGAACCCATAGACTCCGGAGCTGCACCAGAAACCCTGGAGCTGCACTCACGGACCTGGGTTGAACCCACAGACCCTGGGGCTACCCCAGTACACCTCCGGACTGCAGCCTCAGCAGACCCTCATGGGCCCCTGAGATCCTGAGGCTCCCAGCCGCAGTAGGCAAAGTGGGCATCAGTATGGACCGGGCCATCCGGGAAGACCCGGGAAAGGGGAGTCCCCTCCCGACCCTTTCCACACACACACCCCAGACACAGACACACTTACACACCACACGACCCGAACTCACATGCTGCAGACCCCAACTTACACTCGCCGCGCTCCGCCCTGAGCCTCCCGCCCCAGCGTTTGAGAAAAACGGCGTGGGCGGGTCTCAGCCGTGCTTAAACCAATCAGCGCTCGTCATCGCTGATGGACAGCAGGGGGTCTCCGCCAGGACCCGCCCTGGTCTTGGAGGGCTGGAGGAAGTGAAATAAGAAAACCAATCATATCTTTTCTTGTCTTGACTGGCGACCAATAGGAAGAGGGCAAGGGCGTTCGGGCGGGGCAGGGCTGGGAAGTTTGAAATTGGCGGTTCGCAGGATGCTGTGTTTGGAGTGTGGGGCGGCTCCCGGGGAGCCTGGGGTGCTGTCCTTTGCTGCCCGAGCGCTTGCGGGGAGTCTGGCCTCTCTACCTGGACCGCCTGCTCCTGGTAGGGATGTTAGGAACCAAACTCCAGTCTTCTGCAAGAATGCGCTCAGCTGAGCCATCTCTCCTGCCAAAAGTGGGCGCTGCGGTTACTTGTGGGGAATCCGGGGGCTCTGCGGTACAGCTGAGCAGGGAGTGTAAACTCGGTGCAGCCCGCCTGCCTTGCCGCACCTCTGCATTGACCCGCAGCAGAAAGGGGAAGATGTCCCTACAAAGACATTTAAATCTATTTAAGCCAAGACCTCCAAATGACAAAGCACAATGACCGTCCGTGTACGGAAAGTGCCCAGTCTGGTTAGCAATGGGTGGGGGTGAGGGGGTGGGGTGAAAGCTGCGCTGGGTCTGCGTGCATTCACCCCGGGGATAGAATGAATTGGCTATGGAGGGGAAATCTCTGAAAGGGGGTTTGGTATTTGCTAACCCTGAGGCTCCGTACACTCTGTGACTACTTAGGGATGGCTTCTCTGCATTGATTATGAAACCGAGAAATGGATACGAGAAAGCAAGTTCAAAACGATGTTGTCGGACAGAACAGCCAAGCTGGAGAGGTGACTCAGCGACACTGCCTGGGGACCTGCCTTTGGTTCCCAGCACCTACTTCAATCCCCGCACAACTTCCTGTAACTGCTTCCAAAGAATCACATGACCAATTCGGGCTTCTGTGGGCACCTGCACTCACGTGCACACATCCACAGACTCGGACCACACACACTCTAAAGAGACGGACTATATCACATGTAAAATATGGAGACAGCAAAGCCAAGAGGAGAGGCATCTAAGGTTGGAATGGAAGCTTTTCAAGGAACCAGGAGAAAGGCACTGACCTATTTCTTGACCTGATGAGAATATGAATGTTGTTTTCTTAATTATACATTTAGATTTTTCTCTGTGCAGGGCTGAAGCGATGGCTCAGCAGTTATGACCCCAGTCCTCCCTCTTTCAGAAGACTCAAGTCTGGTTCCCACCATCCATGTCAGGGGGTTCACAGTTGGCTGTAACTCAAGCTCCAGGAGGTCCAACACCCTCTGACCTCCATCAGCATCCACACACATCTCTCACGTACCTCCATACACACCCACACGAAGCCACATAATTCAAAAAATAAGCAAATAGCTGGGCATGGTGGTGGGCACTTTTAATCCCAGCACTTGGGAGGCAGAGGCAGGTGGATCGGATCTTTTGGTTTGAGGCCAGCCTGGTCTACAGAGTGAGTTCCACGACAGTCAGGGCTACGCAGAGAAACCCCAACTCAAACAAAAAAACAAAAAGTATTTGTTTTCCTGTGTGTTAAGAAAAACTGTAGTATCCCATCAAGACTTAATTTTTTTTTTTAAATGGGGTCCTAAGAAGACCAGGCCAGCCTCAACCCCACTATGTAAGAGAGGCTGGCCTTTAGCTCTGAGCCTCCTGCCTCTACTTTAAGTGATGGGTTTACAGGTGTGTGCCTCTTAAAAACTAATACAGGTGTTTCATGGATCAAGCAAAGATTTCTTTCTGAAATTTAAATAGCACTGTAACATCCAACATGATCATGAAGAGGGCTGTCAAATAGACACTATTTATAGTGCTTCTGCTTTACCAACAGACTCATCTGAAATGTAAGAAATCAAGCCTCAGAGGCTGGAGCAATGGCCCAGCTATCAAGAACATTCAGTGTTCTTTCAAAGAACCAGAGTTTGGTTCCCAGCACCCAGGTCAGGTGACTCACAACAGGCTGTAACTCTAGCTCTAGGGTATCCAGTGCCCTTTTCTGACCTCTGTAGGCACCCGCACTCACAATTGCACACACACACACACACACACACACATGCCAAAAAATAAATGTTTAAAATAAAATTAAGCCAAAGCAGGGGTAGCGTGTCCGTGTGCCTGCAACCTCAGCACTTGGGAGGCAAGAGGATCGGGAGTTCAAAGTCCCCCTGACTACATACTGAAACTATGGACAGACTGCTGAAAAGAAAGAAAAAAGCAGGGAGGTGGTGGCGCACACCCTTAATCCCAGCACTCGGGAGGCAGAGGCAGGCAGACTTCTGTGAGTTCAAGACCAGCCTGGTTTACAAGAGCTAGTTCCAGGACAAGCTCAAAAACCACAGAGAAACCCTGTCTCGAAAAAATAAAAAAATAAAAAAAAAAGGAAAGAAAGGAAGGGAGGGAGGGAGGGATAGAGGGAGGGAGGGAGGGAGGGAGGAAGAGAGATAAAAAGGAATACACTCTAGTAGTTAGGATTTGAGCTGGGCTCTATCATTCTAAATTCCTGTGTTTGTTTGTTTGTTTGTTTGTAGACAGGCTTTTTCTGTCCTGGAACTTGCTTTGTAGTCCAGGCTGGCCTTGAACATAAAGAAGTGCCTGCCTCTACCTTGCTAGTGCTGGAACTAAAGGTGTGCACCACCACTGTCCTGTTCTAAAGCCCATTTTTCATAACTACCAAATTGTAGTGACTTCTATTTTTGCCTATCCCAGCACCTAGCACGGGATAGATATTTATAAGCATGCTAACACAGTGGTAAAAAAAATAATGACATCTTGAAATTTGTATGCAAATGGATGGATCTAGAAAAAAACATATTGAATGAGGTAACCCAGACCCAGAAAGACAAATATAATATGTACTCACTCTTAAGTGGCTTCTAGACATAAAGCAAAGGAAAAAAAATCTACAGTCCACAACCCCAGACAACCTAGACAACAAAGAGGACCCTAACAGAGACACAGAGATCTACATAGGAAGGAGAAAAAGACAAGATCCGAGTTAATTAGGAGTGTGGGAGTCATAGGAGAGGGTAAAGGGAGGGGGAGGGAGGGAGGGGAGCAGAGAAAAATGTATAGCTCAATTAAAAAAAAAAAAGTATGTTAAAACTGAAAGACACTCCACCACGCTTGTTTGATAACAATTTGGCCTTCTCATCTAGATAAACCTAAAGCATTGGTATGTACACTGGGACCACCAGAGGAGATTTAAAAACTACTAACCCATGGGTCAACGAGATGGCTGAGCTTAAGGTGTCCGCAGGCAAGCCTGATGAACTGAGTTCAATCCTTGGGACCCCCGTGATGGAATGAGAGAACCAGTTCTCACCAGCTGCCCTCTGATCTCTGTGTGCATGCCATGCTATGATGGAATGCTATGATGCCATGCTATGGTGGAATGAGAGAGCCAGTTCTCACCAGCTGCCCTCTGATCTCTGTGTGCATGCCATGCTATGATGGAATGCTATGATGCCATGCTATGATGGAATGCTATGATGCCATGCTATGGTGGAATGAGAGAGCCAGTTCTCACCAGCCGTACTCTGATCTCTGTGTGCATGCCATGCTATGCTCCCCTGTGTGCACTTGCATGCACACACAAATGTAAACAAACTTTAAAATGTAAAACAAAAAGAATACAAATGCATGACCTCACCCGCTCCCAGCCTCGTTTCACTCTTCTGGACTTGGGGTATTTTAAAAGCTCCCTAAGTGATTCCAATGTGTGATGTGCGCCCATCCCAAAGACCCGCAGTCAAGAGAGTGCGTACACTGCTAACTAAATAGCAGGTTGTTTTGCAATATTTTTGTGGGTGCAATACCGAAGACTCAACTGAGGTGTCTGTGCATGCTTAGCATGCTCCACCCTAGACCCGTACCCTACTAACCTGACTTCAGCACCAGCCTTTATTATGGAGAGTCCTTTCTGTAGGGAAAACCTGCTCTTGAGCTGGCTCAGTCAAAAAAAAAAAAAAAACAAAAACAAAAAAAAAAACTACATACGTTTACCTTCCTCGCTTCTATCCTGGGATCAGCCACGATGAAATCAACAGAAGGTGATGGTCAGGAAATTTAACATGAAGAAACCAGGAGTCGGGACGACAGCTCAGTGGTGCAGTCAGTGTTTAGCAAATATGTTCTGAATCTGACCTCAGGCAGCACATTAAAAGATGCCAGGAGGGCTGGAGAAATGGCTCAGTGGTTAAGAGCACTGACTGCTCTTCCAGAGGACCCGGGTTCAATTCCCAGCACCCACATGGCAGCTCACAACTGTCTGAAGATCCAGTTGCAGGGGATCTGACACCTTCACACCAATGCACATAAAATAAAGTTAAATAAACCATAAAAAATATTATTAAAAAAATAAAAAAAAAAAGATGCCAGGAGTGTAATGGAGGCAGAGGCAGTTGGAGCTCTGAGGGGTCAAGGCCAGCCTGGTCAACAAAATGAGTTCCAGGACAGCCAAGAATAGATAGTGAGACTGTGTCTCAGAAACAAAGAAGGTGTATGTGGTAGGAATGGGCAAAAAAAAGGAGGAGGAGCAGGAAGAAGAGGAGAGGGACCTGGAAAGTGCTAGACTACCCTCAGATTAAAGAGTGGACTTTCATATATTTCATATCTTTCATATTTCATATATTCATGAGGAGTGCCTCATATACAGATAGATACACAAAACAGGCACAGTGGTGTGTACACTTAATCCCAGCACTTGGGAAGAGAAAGCAGGAGAATCAGGAGTTCAAAATCAGCCTCAGCTACATAGCAAGTTTGAGACCAGTCTGAACTAATGAGATCCTGTCTCATAGTGTGCGTTCATGTGTGCCTGCGTGTATGTGTGTGTGTGTGTGTGTGTGTGTGTGTGTGTGTGTGCATGAGCACCTGAAATGCAAGCTGAAACGCCTG